CCAATGAGCCCTACAGTAGCGTCGAAATAAGAAACTCCCCTTTCTTCGGAATCCTTCCCAAAGATACTCAAAAAAAACAGTGAAAATCCCCGAATGGGTGCGAACGCTGGGACGTGTCAGTGGGTAGGCTGGCCAAAGCGCAGTCCGTTCTACCCAATCGTTGGAGCGAGCAAGCGACAGCAATTGGTGGAAAACGAGCGGGCACCGTGCCAAACACGATCTCCTGACACTCCCCAGCGTCCGCAGCAAAAACGACTACACTGACTTACCGCGATACAGGATCGTTGATCTGGCACTGATGTAATTTTTGTGGGAAAATGACTAACGTTCAGACAGAATACTCACCCTTAACGTATCCCATCCATAGAATCCTTCCGTTACGCCGAAGTGATTGTTGGACATGAATGTAATCGGATCGAAGCTGCGACGAAGATACGAGGAGGAACTTCTACTGAAACATTTGTTACCGTAATTATTTCAGATGCTCGAGAGACACATATCGATGATTTTTCTCTTTATTGTTCTGCCAGGGTACAGCATCGTGATGTGTGAAATGGTAGTGTCCGTACGACCCCCCCCCCTTGAAGGAGGGTCTCGGTGTGACCCCCCCCCCCACCTAGAAAAGTGTCTCGGTGCGATCATCTCTCCCCTTCCCTAACACCTACTCACCACTGTTTTACAAGTTCCCAGCTTCCTACCTACCAGTTTTTTCCAGAATTTCTCACATTTTTCAGTTTTTCCACCCAAAAAATTTCCGAGCGAAGGGGGGAGGAGAAAATGCCAAGAACCGGGAAAACGGCAAATTTCCGTTAAAGCCATATACGACCTCCTCTCTCAATAAGGACCAATACGACTACCCCCCCCCTCCACAGCGAAGAAGTACGACCCCCCCCCCATGTAATTCACACAACGATGCTGTACCATGTATTCTGCGCTTCATGTATGTGAACCTAAAAATCAGAGGGTAGCGAGAAAAGAGATGGGCATGCTCCTACCACTCTTGAAGCAAGTTCTCGAAGGCTACCTGAAGATCCTGAGTGGAACTAGGTCCCCAAAAAAGCGAACCCTACTCAAAAAGTGAATAAATATATGGCAAATTTCATTGTTCAGCGCACCTGTCAAATAGTCTTTTGCCAGTGCAAGCGGTACAAAGACTGTCGGGAATCCAGAAGTCAGACGATGCAGTATCAACGATCACCGTGAACAACTGCGGTGGCGTTCCCACGGTAATGTTGGTGACGAAATAGCTCTGAGTGTGCTGCTCAAGCTGAAAAAAACCAGTGAAACTTAGAAATCGTGCTGAGAAAAAGCTCAAAAAGTTACCGCGGCTCCTCCGGCGGTCACATTTGACACATCAGCTAGTTTGATTGGAATAACGAACGCAGAGACGGTGCTCTGCAGGAGCAAAGCAGCGATGGCGGCAACTGCTCGCATGGTGAAGTTTCCAGGTCCAAAGATGGGCTTTCCCCCTTATATAGGGGGCATGTAGCATTGCGTTATCAACCTGAGAAAAAGGCGTTGTTATCAGCACCTGCGTAAAGGAAGTATGCTGATAGGGCGTAGAAAATGCTGTTCTTAGGCCAATCAGTTTTCAAGCAGCACCATTAGTCCAAAGATCATCACGAAAAGTCATCGAAGAGATAACATATCAAAGTGACATCATCACCATACTTCCTAAGCTCCCATTTGAAGATATTTCCGTGGGAATTGTCTTCTA